CAACTCCCTTGCATTGAAGGAGTACTTGAGTAGAAGCCCAATGTCTATCTGTGACCTTAATACTAAACCTAGAAATGCATGCACATAGATCTATTTCTCCATCATCCTATATAAATATATTTACATATGTACATGCCTGTATTTAGACCTTTATAAATGCCCTTTGCCTCCTAGTTCTTTCCTCCATTTCCTTTTACTTTCCCCTTGTCCCACTATCAAGCTCAGCCTTCATTTGGATTTCAGTAATTCGTCTCGTTTACATTGCCCTTGATCAAGCCCCACCAGTCCTACACCCTCCTCGCTATTGATTTTGTATCATTTGTTGTTCCCTTGTCCCTGGGTTTGTTAACACCCATTTCTCCTTTCTTTTAAACTGAATTTTGTTATGTTTTATTTTGTTACCGTTATTGGGGATTTTTTGTTTTTGTTTTGTGTTGGATTTTTTGGTTTTTCTCTATAGGAAATCTAGGATCAGTAAATCTATAGAGATAGTAGCTGGATTAATAGCAGCTTGGATTTATGGCAGGGAAGTTGAAGAGCAATGGGGAACTAATAATAAGTTCAAGGAAGACAAAAATGTTCTGCAATGTATTATAATGATGATTGTACAACTTTAATATGTTTAAACTTTTGGACTGTATGTGAATTATATGTTAATAAAACTGTTAAATTTTTTAAAAGAAGAGGGGAGGGTGGAAAGACTTCATCTCATATATTTTGGAGATGTTATCCAGAGGGACTGGTCCCTGAAGAAAGACATCATATTTGGCAAAGCAGAGGGTCAGTGAAAAAGTAGGGGAGCCTCCACAAGGCAGATTAGCACACGAGGCTCAAGCAAGAACAGCAGGATGGGGCAGGACCAGTCAGTCTTCCATTCTATTGTGCATCTGGTTGCTATGAGTTGGAACGAACCCAATAGCATGTAATAACAACAAAGTAAAAGTCATGTTTTAAAATGTGTGAGATGAATTCCTGGGGTACAGCACAGTGTGCAATGTTCTAAAACATCGTGTCCCTCTTTACTTTTAAAATCTGTCTCAAATAGCCCAACTGGGAATCGTTGGGCACATAGCACCTCAATTGTCACTGCTGTTCTCTCTCTCTCTCTCTCTCTCTCTCTCTCTCTATATATATATATATATATATATATATATATATATACACACACACATATATATGAGAGAACTGCCTCAAACCTGGGGAAATTAACTATTAATGTGAAAGATTAGCTGCTCATCCCCATTTATAGTATCCTGATTAGAAACACGTGAGGGCTACTGGATGTAGAGATTCAGTACTTGTGTGCTGTTCATCTGTGTTCTCACAATATCTAGCACCATGTGCCTTGGACAAGGTAGTTTATAATAAAAGCTTATGGAATGAATGAAGAAAAAATGGTTAGAGAGAATGTCAAATATCTTTGACACTTGCTAAAGCTGAATTGTTTTTTATATCCCCATAGTAAGTGTAAATTCTCACAAGGCATTAGAAACAACATGTTTTTATACTATGGTTCTTTTGAAAGGCTGAATGTCCAAATGAAAGACCACAAAGTGCTGTCATTTAATATAAAATGTAAAGTGTGACATTAAATTAGGCAAAAATATCACAGGATGTTGAAGGTTTGGGGTCACCTCCTTGTTCACGAGACCTGGAACTGTAATTTTAAAACTCAGCTGATGCTTTTTGAATATTTAGGAATAATAATTAGGAATCACTGAGCGTCCTAACGTATTTTCTTGGTTTGTGGAACTCTGAATAAATCAGTCTTAGTTCTTATTCATAGGAAATCTCTGTCCGGGTTATAAAGTCACATGAAAGAAGACTGGGTCTGCATGTGCTCTTAGATTACAGGTCAGTTCTTCCCCTAACCATCGTTCTACTGATTCTGTTCAGAAACACTGCTGTTGATAGGGACCATCGAGTCAGTTCCCACTCATAGCAACCTTACGCACAACAGCGGGAAATGCTACCAAGTCCTGCGCCACACCCACAAATGTTCCTGTTTTTTGAGCCCATTATTACAACCATAGTGTCAGCCCATCTCCTCATGGCCTTTGCTCAGCTTTACCAAACACGATGTCCCACTTTGGAGACTGGTCTCTCCCGACAACATGTCCATAGTATGTACGAGGAACTTTCACCATCCTTACCTCTAAGGAACACTCTGGCCTTACTTCTTCTAAAACAGATTGTATGAATTCATAGATCAAATTTCAATGTGTTTTTTAAAAGCATCACAAGAACTTTTAAATGATACTAAATGGCACATATACAATCCCAAATTGTCATTTATCTGAACTATAGCACCTCTCAAGAGTTTTTTATACATTTTAATTTCTATAGAATGAGTGTGTATATGGGTGGGTGTGTAAAATAATAAGGAAGCACCTGAAATGGGGTGAATTCCTGCTGCATGTGTGCGTGTATTTTAGTGTGAATTTAGAGAGAGAGAGAATAGGAAACCACCTGGCAAGTCCAAAGTGACTGGTCTGTTCTGCCGAGTAGGAACCATTAGCTAAAATCCAACCATTCATATCCATCTGCGTAGGTCACATACACGTACCTGAGTATGGGATACATTTCTCAGCCTTCTTTTAATAACAATGCCTCTTCTCATGCTATAATCCTTGTATACAATTACAGAGAATTAAAAATTAAAGTGCCAGACAACCCACAAAAGCAAGCCAAGCAACACGACAATGGTCAACGGGTGACTGATGTGTGTGAGAATTAGAATTGGGGCCCACAAAGACTGTGTTGATCTTATGCCATAGACACAGCATGAACCATTTGAAGCATGTCGTTCTTATCTGGGCATTTGGTGAAAAGTAAATAAGAAATCGCAGAGTTATTTTATGCTTAATTACCTAACTCTAAATGTCAGGTGAATGTAGACAGGAGGACAGGTAAGAAGGAGATGCCCCTGGTTTAAAGCCTTCCCCAAATTAATGCTCGTTTACTGTGTGGGGATTTCAGATTCTTTAAGTTGTCACGGGGCTTGCCCTACAAATAGAGTCCCCTGGTTTTGATAAATTAAAGGTATAGCATTTTCCTAAGTCCGACCTCTAGATCAAATATCCTCTCTCAGTGCATCTGTTTTGAATGTTAATAAAGTTTTCATTCCAAGAGGTTCCAAATGACAGAACAAAATCTTCTCCTCTAAGATCACGAGAACGCCTTCTGTTTCTGTCTGCAGGTAGTAGAGGACATGCTGGAGGACGAGGAGGAAGAAGATGACAAAGATGACAAGGTAATTATCTTTCCCGGCACTTGGGTACCTGGGGATGGGGGAATGTAGACATGCCACTGTTTTCACAGACAGTTAAAAAAGGAGTTGAAGTGTTTGAGTCCAGGAAATTGGACAGTGCTGTTTATCATCCTAACAATGCCACTGCATGTTGCAAAGAGGGAGAGAAGGCTATAAATCCTCTTCGTTTTTGTCCAGAGCTGGGTCAAATATTTTTCTGCCAGGAACAAAACTAAAATAATTCAGCTTGTCTGGAACTTGATAGCTCTTGTGAAGATAACAGCAGTGACAACTGGTTTTGAAGGGCAAAAATGTGTCCTATCTTGAGTGTTACAAATTGGACTACACTTTGGGGAGAGCGGGGCGAGGGAAGTGAAAAAAAGAGCGACAGCCTGCGTGATTTTGAACCTGGCCATTGTCATCTGGACTTTAAAAGAAAAAGGCTTCCCAAAGGGACTCATGTGTGGAATGCTCCCGGGGATGTTTAAACAAGCCCAGGGCTCCCCAATCACTGTCTGTCTTTGGAACGGCTGGGTGGTTCTTGGGTGTGGAAAGCCACTCAGAGAGGCCTGCACTTCGACGGCCGGTTGGCTGACCACAGGATGGTGACCACAGGACATAACAGGTCATGTTGGAGACTGCTTGCATAGGTTGGGCTCTGGGGAGAGGGGACACCGGAGGAAGGAAATGAGAGTGACCTTGTACCACTGCAGCAAGGGCTGAGGTCAGAAGGACAGCGTTCTATGGCAAGCAGAGTCTGGTGCTGCCGTTATCACCTCGCTGGGCATTTCTAGAGTGAAAATAGAAAAAGTCTCAGTGTGGGATTGGGAAAGGGAGGGGAAACCACATTAATTATTTTCATATTGCTCGGCATATTAAACCAGATTTTGACCTTCACCAGAACCTATCTGGATTCTGTTGTAGGAAAGCAATGAAATTTTTGTGAAGAAAGGAGAAAAATAACAGCGTATCTTAATTTATGGCCTTGACCTTTGATTCCAGTAGAGATGTACAGTTATATCCCGGTGTAGGAATTTGTGTGTGAGAAGCAAGTATTAGAAGTGTGTAAGAAAAATTCAGTGATTAGTTAACCTCCCAAGTGATCTTTTCCCCTGAACGATATTCTATGCTTGAAAGAAACTAGAAACACACACACACACACACACACACACACTCACACTCCTCCCTTCTAATGCTTTTGCAAACATTTTTCAAGTGAGAGAGCTTTTATGTGAATTTTTTTTCTTCTGTATATCATTTAGTCATTAGCGACATCATCAAACATAAACTAATAAAATCTCCTTTCTGCAAAAACACATATGTGCTTGTTTTTAATGTTAAATCACAGGAGCATACACTTCTGGCAATAAATGATATGATTTATTGTTAAGGTCAGTGGTAGAGCTGTAGAGAGCTTGTATTTTAACTCATCGTGCCAGCTTTGAATCATCATTTCTTCGCTGATAAACACTGAGCTGCCATCCATTTATGGCCATTTCCCCTTGCTTGGTGCTGCTTTATTATTAAAGCCACCATAAAGACCCATCCCAGCAGCAGGCGTTTCCCCTGAAATGTGAATCCAGGGAAACCCTTAGTGAAGTCTATTCCTTCAATGTCCCTGCTTGAAGACAACACAGTGTGTGTGTGTGTGTGTGTGTGTGTGTGTGTGTGTGTGTCCAGATATTCAGAACCACTAATCTCTTGTTTTGGGGGGGGTCATGTTTTAATAGAGAGGATGTTAGGGATGGAGAACAAATTGGCACGCCTTGTTAACCACCTCACCAAAGCACAGGTGTCAAGTGCAACATGCCAAGGTGGAAACGACACCAACCCTCGGGAGTGGTATCTATTGTAACCTAGTGTTTAGTGGTCTGAAATCGACACCTTGGTTCTAACACATTTTCAGATCTAGTTACCAAAATTGATTGAAACTGAGCGCTTAAATTACGGTGTGAATTCAACTCTATTCTTCCATCCCAGATGCCCACACAGTGTGTTTTCCATCTGAAAGGGTCGTGAGCTGATTTTCATAAATCCAGCCCTTTTATTTGAGAGATCTATGAAGAGGGCATTTTTATTCATAATGCAGTTGATGGCACAGAAAGCATATCCAAACAAAAAGAAGGAGAAGAAAGTGGCAAATGTAATAATTTACAATAGACTTTTAAGTGCTTGCATAATAGAAGAGAGAATCTTAGAGTGGACATCTTGAGATATAGTTTTTATTATGTAAAATGGAAGTATGAGAGGCTCCTTCAAGTCTCCATTTTCCAGCTTCCACCTCTTGGCTGGCTCTCACAGTGGTAAATGTCGTCAGTCTCGGCTATCAGTACGTCGGAATGGAAGAAGGGTCATTTCCTACTTTAAAAAATTCATTGGTTCCTCTATTTAAAGTTTGTGTATAGACTCATGCGTAATGGAATTTCATGAGAAAACAAATGTGGTTTTTGCCATGTGAGCAAGTACTGACCTCGAGCTCTCATTATTCCTCTGTTTTCTCATGTGGTATAATAGTGGGGTCAGGTCAGTGGGGCTTCTTATAGGATAAAAGTAAAAAAGATTAATAAATGTGCCAAAGCCTCACTTTAATTGAACCTGAAGCATATGTTGCAAGTATGTGAAATATGTCCCAGATGTTTCACCAGGGTTAGTGCCTCGGCTTTCCCTGATTACCACAAGGCACAGCTATTAGTCCTCTAACCTTTGGACTTGGGGGTAAATGGGGTATTACGTGGCACAGAACGAGAGCACCTGTTTTCCATTCAGCAAAGACCCCTGGCAGGCTTTGCCTAAGCTCACCCATATGTTTTCATTTAGCAGATTGTTGGGTGATTATGAAAAGTGTCTTTCTTTAGAGCCAGCATTGATATTAGTCACTCACAATGAAAGGGCGAGTCATTGGCTACTTGACAGGGTCCGTGTGGGCATCAACTGAAGTTGTTGATTTCACTTGAGCTTGGAGTGTTTTCCCTCAGCAGAACTATATCAATGGCAAAGTCACTAAGTAGTACAAGGAGATGAAGCAGATAAAGATTACAATTCACTTTGCGAATCACTTTCCATCAGGACTTCTTGTTCATGAGCAGCTAGGAAGACGCCGGTAAAAGTTGGGAAAGACGAAGTCATGAATGGATTTACACCTGGCACTCCACATCTTAAACTTTTTCAGCTTGTGGTCTTGCAAGTAATTTTCCCCTAGAATTCATCCTTTTTATTAAAGCTGGTCAGGGTATGTGATCTTCAGACTTATTCTTCACTCGAGGAGCCATTGTCCCCCTTTGCCTAAACCGACAATGAGGTGACTTCTCGCTTAATCCAATTGCACCATTTTCACAAAGGCAGAGAATATGGGTTTTGAATGGTGAGGGAGTCTTTGTTATGAATCACTGACTTGTTAATATTTTCACATCTACATTATGTAGAAGCACTATGTTCAACTGTTAAACGGTGCTGGAGCTGACAGTATCCCTGAATTAAATGTAAGAGAGACATCATACTGTGTTCTCAATTCCCCTTGTTGCAGAGCATTCTCTCACTCAACCACAAAGCTACAGTTTGATCTGAGTTTTCACCTGACACCCAATCCGACCTATGTGGTTAATAGCAAATCAGACTTAGCTACATTACATTGACAGGGTTATCAATAAGCCACATAATACTGTTTTTCACCATGTTGTATATAATAAGACAGTGGTCAATCTGCATGATCTAGACATTTAATTAATGAAAATCAGCTTTCATTTTGTAGCTTAAAAACTTCAGGCATGCTTCCTATGGTGCTTCCTACCCTTGTAATAAGATCCAGTTGCAATATAAGGAAGCAGAAGATAGAATGCAGGATTTCCTCAGAAAAAGCAGGGATTCAAATGCATGACATTCTAGTAATGTTTATTGATAAAAGATTTTAAAATCTTCAGGCATTTATGCTAACACTGCTTCCCCTTTTTCTTCAACCATTATGTCAAGGTTACTGTGTCTCAAGAAAACTAGATGCCATGGAATGAAGCCTATCTGAGTTATTTCAAAATGCACAGATTGTTCATTTTAATTCTGGAAGTCTGTATTTTCTGGTTTGATTTGTCAAGCCCTAGATATGTATGTAGCCTTCCCAAGATGCATATGTCTCTGCATCTCAAGTCAGCTGTAGGGGTGGGGGTGAGGTAAGGGGAGAGAGAACTCTTATATGCGGTATGAGAGAAGATGTTAATCTAACAAAGTGGCATTTTCCAATTCTATTTAAGGAAAGAACTGCATGGAAGGGAAACAGACCAAGGCTTTGAATAAGGCAAGAAAGAGATGCAAGATGTGTGTGTGTGTGTGTGTGTGTGTGTGTATTCCTGGTTCAACAGGGTTCTTTGCGCAGGAGGCAGGCTGAGTTCTCATCTGCAGTATCTGAGGAAGAACTCGCTTTCAAGCCCATTCAGATTGTTGGCCAGACCCAATTCTTTTTGTCTGTCTGTTTTCAAAACCATTTTATTGGGAGCTAATACAGATATCCTATTCCATAGTTCAATTACATCAAGCAGTATCGTATAATTGCTACCACAGCCAGTTTCAAAACATTCTCTTCCTTCTTGAACTCCTTGATAACAGCTCCTATTTACCTCCTTTCCCCACTTTACCCCCCAGGAACCCTTATTCTGCTTGTTGTCTCTATATGGTCATCAATCCTGGGTTTCATATACCGAAAAACAGAAACACATATAAGAAAAATTCAAGAGGGCTACCCACAATGACAAAATACATCAGATATAAGCCCCAATATGAGAAAGAAGCAAAACAGAGAGAGAGAGAATGTTGAAACCAGACCTGGCCCAGCATGCATCAGAGCGGGGATCAAGTGAAAAGGTTTTCATCATTCCAGTCAGGTCTTTCGTTGTGATCTCTTATAGTCATCTCCCCAGTGCGCGCTGTTCAGTAACCAGTTGAGTCCCATCCCTCCATTATGGACAGAGGGAAATCATGGGAGGCTATTTCCTCTGTAGATCTCACAAATGTATCTT